TCGCCAGACTCCCCCTAGCCCACCTTACCCCAATACCCAAGCCCTTTCCCCCTCCCCTTCTCCGGATGTTTACCCTATTCACATCCCTCAGGCTGAACTGACGCAAACGTGTCACCTTTGTTCAAACATACAGTTCGCAGCTAACCATCACTATCTGTCATGGGGCTGTTTAACGAGAGAAAAACAAGTCTTGTAAAGCACTCATTTTGCCCTGTAAGTCAAAAAAGAAAATAACTATAGGGGTGGTTAAGAAGACATTCGCCGTACAGCTCACTGCTATTAGAATTACAAAGAGCACATTCTCCTTCCTTCAAGATCATTTGTACACATTGTCAAAGGGAGGGGAGCAAGATACCTGTCAAGGGAAGGGAGGGCAAAATACCTGCCAAGACCAAACGGGAGGGCAACACAGCTGTCAAAAGCGTCATGCACACCGATTTACTCAGTACTTACTTACCAGCAGCTAAAATTGCTTGTATCAAGATGCTAGTCACAAAAGAGGGGAAATCAAATGCAATTCTCTGGCTTTTTAAAGGGGGGCAAAGTCTACCACAGATTTTATATTCAAATAATTCTATTGTACTGCCAAAGGGGAGCTACTCCCGCCCTGAAATTAGAGGGGGAGGGGGGAGGGGGTGGAGGGGTTATCGAGGTAGGGAGATAGGGAGGGGTGGGTGGGGGAAGGTGAGAGGGAGAGGTAAGTAGAAAGGGAGGGGAAGAGGAGGGATAGAGCGGAAGGGGACAGGAGAGGAGAGGGGAGGAGGGATAGGGGAAAGGGAGAGCTAGTAGAAAAGAGAGGCAGAGTGACATGTAGGCTGGGCGGGAGAATGCACAGGTAAGGGGTATGGAAGGGTAAAGAGTGGAATGGGCGGGTATGGCCTGGGGGAGGAGGGAGTGGGGAGGGAAGAGAATGAACGAGCAACCCTCCTCCGCCAGGCCGCCTCCCCCTCAATCGCCCTAGCTAATTTGGAACAACACTCAAGAAAACAACATCAGAATGATCACCTACCTTCCCGGTGCCTGACAACTCTGGTGTCGGGGGGAACAAGCGGGTAACGTGTTAGGGGGGAGTGGGGTGGGGACGGGGAGGGGAGATTGGGGGGGCCCAAAAAAGGGATACCACAAGGGGTTGAGGAAAAAGGGGGACGGGTGGGGGGTGGGGGGATATGAGACGGTACTACTCGTGTTCCGAAAAAGAGGGACTATGGAGTGAAGAACAAATTCTCTATTGACAGATTTGGACAAAATCTTCAGAATTGGTGCTTGCTAGTATCTGTTGTAACTGGATTTTTGTAATGATGTGACGGCGTTCTGGCCAAGAGTGTCGGGGTAGCGGCAAGTCGTCACAGCAGCAGCATTTTGGGCTACCTGCTAAGACTACCTTCTAAAGTTACTTCTCCACTTCAATCTAGAAAAATATAAGGGGGTGGGGGGAGCGACTTATTCAGGCCAGAATTCCGTCACGAAAGCGAGTGAAGTTCACCTGAAGTGGAAGTGGTTGTGTGGATTGGGAGGGAGGGAGGGGGTGGGGGGGGGAAGGTTACACAAACACGGGACACGGAGGGGGGAGGGGGTGTAGATGGGTGTGGTTCAGGCCGGGGTACATAGGTTTAGGCTACAGGAGAGGGTAATCAAAATACACAAGGTGTTCATCTGGTGAGGTGGTGGTGGTTACAATCTGCATTGACATGTACAAAATCTAAGATTATATAAAAGGCTGTAATAATAATAATAATACAAAAAGAGGGATAGAGTGAGAAAGCAAGAGAACGGGAATAGAATTTAAGGGTATGAGGGAAAAAACGTCTTGGTTGTGGTGTAAGCTAGTGTGGGTGTCCGATCTATGCCCCCGAGAAGTCCGCCAGGGTCACGGCCTTTTTGGGAGGGACTAGTGATGTAGCTAAGGACTCTCTACGGCGCTCCCAGCTAGTGTCCTTTCGCCCTACCTACAAAGTGAATGATGGCGGTGATGGGGTGTGAGATGGAGGGGGTATGGGACGGAGAGGGGGGGGGGGATGAGGAGTGAAGGTGGGGGGTGTTGGTGGTCGTTTGCTCATATCTGGGGCGTGACATGCTAACTGTTTAGAGAGAGGTGGTAAGTTACTACATAACCCGTAGAATAATAAAGGAAGAAAGAGATATAAGTAACAAATCGTTCGTTTTCCGTGCATAACCAGATTGAGACGACGTGATACCGCAAGGGGACTATTTTTCTCCCTCTGTGTTACGGGAACCTTAAGTACTTATCTCGACCTTGCACCAACCCATCTCAATATTTTCTCGTTGATATCAATTCCCCCCCTCCCCTCCTTCACCCAACCCGTGGACAAATTTAAAATTCTGGCAGAAACGGGACGTTACACAACTTAAAATGACATGAATATAAAAATTACAATCGTGGATGCTTCGAAAAGACAATGGGTAGTTAAGTACATCTTACTTTAGCTAAAATTTACGTCATCCCCATAGGATTCCAAGATTATCTTATTTTTAATGTTTACAATTACTACTTTTTCCGGCGTACTTTCAAATGCAACGCTTCCCGTGATTAGTAATTACAAAAACCCTGCATAAAATCTCTACAATAGAAGCACAGCAGCAAAACTAACCGCGCTCCAAGTACAACAGAAAAAAAAACGTAGTTATGACGGTTCTCTTTTTTTTTAAACTATAACGAGTTGCCCAAAGAATGGAACATAACGTTTATGGATGCACATTTCCTGTGTTACAGCGACAATTATCTATGCCAAAAAGTCTGTGCGTGTAACGAAGTTGGTGCGGAGAGGAGAGCTCCATCCCCTCGCTTCCCCTCCCAGGGACCTTCACCCCCTCCCCGCCCCATCCCCAGTCGCGCGTCACCCGCCGCCGTCCCGCACGTTGGCGAGGGAACCAGGGATGAGGGGAACAAAAGGATGGAAGGAGGGGAAACGGGAAAGGAAGGCTGAGGCAAATGGGAAAGAAAAGAGGAAGAGGAGGATAGAGGGAAGTAAGAGCAGAGCGACGACTGACGTGAAGCATTGGGGGCACTGTCAGGACCAAGTGTGATGGGAGAGAAGAGGGGAGGTCACAGGGAGGGGAGAGGGGAGGTGATTACAGCCAGTTGCTACTGGACGAAGGATGCTGGGAGAAGAAACCGCTGATGGTGAAGGAGGGGGGGGCATACCAAAAATGAGCAGAAGACTAGAAGGTTGCCTGCAGTAATAACTGAAAAAAGGAGGACGGTGTGGGGAAGAGTAGCCACAGAGCAAGGAGAATTGGGGAATAATGCGAGTAAGAATAGAAAAAAAGAGAAGAAAAGGGAGGAGGGGAAAGGAAAGCGTTTAAGGGTTCTGATTGGAGAGGGGGGGGGGGAAGAGGAGTATAGGGGATGGCGGGAATCATCTCTGAATAGGGCGAGGGAAATAGCTCCCTGTATGAGCAAGGGTATGGTGAGCTGTTCCTGGAATGATGCGAAGGGGAATGAGTTGTTCATGATGGAATGAGGGGGGGGGGTGAGTATGAGCAGATAAATGCGATGAGAAAAAAATCTATATATGTTGGTTGGACTAGCTATTGTGGGAGAGAAACCATTACCGAGGATGGATGAGCAAATATGCATTCCCATTACTATCACCCTGAAATAGGCGCCTATCTTTTATAATTGTGACTGAAGCTACATGTTCAGTAAAACATTAGCAAACATAACTACGACATGTACACGTGGCTTCTGTGATGGGAGTGTTTGGTAAAAGGCACATGAGGCAAATATATCGGTGTTTGTGTGGAGTCCGAGGATAGGCCTACTTAAAATGACGTGTGATTTCGTGACTGACTGGACGTAGGGGAGAAATTACACAATTTACACGACCTGTGACATGTGGACAGCGTTAATGACACTACAATCGTGTGAATTTGGAAGGTAAGGAAGTGGCCAGTGATGAGTGTTCTTGGTCTTATACAATGGAGTCAAGGCGTGTGTTTAGTACAAAAGTAATTATTTCTCGTGTCTTGTGATTTTTCATTAAACCTTCGATTCGTGCCGGCGGGTATTCTCTTCAAATGGATATTATGACTGGTATTAACTATTGTTATTATCATGGATGTTATTATTCGTATTAATATGGCCTGTGGTGTTGCTGTGCTGGAAGCCGGAGAGGAAACATGGCTTATTTTGTGAGATAGAGAGATTATATACGATTTCTCGGAAGTGTCTTGTTAGTCGTCAAAGGAGGCAACGGTATGAGATAAAGGGAGTTTTCTTACAAGTACGTTAAACGTTAAGAGGTTTTAACAAAAGGACTAAGAGTAATGCTAGTAAGTGTCTTTTGAAAGGGGGGGGGAAGGGAGGTTAAAAATTTGAATTTCCTTGGGATAGCCCTGTTGTTTTGTGAGTGTCTTATATAAGCTAAGAAAAATATGTCTTTTTTCTCTTATTTTTGATCATTTGGTGGATGGAAACGTCTGATCGTGGGATAAGTGTTTTTTTTATGACATTATCTGGAAGAGTTGTGGCATTGGACATGTGGTGGGCGCGTGGGCGGCTCGGCCCGACGCCGCCGCTACCACGACCGCTCGCTCGCGCCCCCGCACTCGGTCCGCCGCGCACCCACGTGGTGTACGTCGCACTCGGACCGCACTCCTGAAGCTCCTGAAATCACTCGCTCGGCCTCGGATTCATCACTCACAAAACAACCCCAGCGACGCAGCAGCAGCAGCCTCGGCCGCCCGCCTGCCACAGGACCCGCGGGGCTGCGCACCGGCTCGCCACAGAGACTCTCACAAAGCACAGCCGCCTTCCTCTTCTTCCTATTCCTCCTCCTCCTCCTCCTCCTCCTCCTCTTCGTCTTCTCCCGTTCCTCCTCCTCCTCCTTCGTCTTCTCCTATTCCTCCTCCTCCTTCTCTTCCTCCTCCGCAAGGCCTCAGCGTCGCCTTCATCACCATCACCACACGGGGAGGAAAAAAAACCACTTCACTGGCTTACCCACACTAGCTCATCCACATGGAAAAGCCCCACAGCTTAC